CAAACATTTTCCACTTCAATGGATTGTCACTTCAAAGGGCGAAGTCACAACGAGGAAGTGAAAAAAATCTAGGGTTGCGTCTTCAAGTTGAGAGCTTCTTCAAGCTGGGAAAGTAGAATGAAATGAGCTCAATTTCCTCCATCGCGAATGCCAATCGTAAACTTTGAGCACATCATACACAATCGAGTGGCTTTCATATTTAAAAAGGGGAAGTTCATGCGATTGAATTTCATTAGACAAACAAAAATACCAAAAAAAAAAGTTAGCCAAGAAATTGCCAAACGTCTTACAAAGAACCTTTGATACACTTATGAGAAGTTCATACATTTCCTAATTGAAAAAGAAACTACGAATATTACAAAGATGCAATTCCGAAAAAACAATTTATTTAGTGTATTTACTACTTTTCCCCTCGATTTGCTCAATAGAGGAATGTTGAAAGCATTAAAGGCCACGCCCATAAAGATGCCCCGCCCATAACTGACGGAATGCCAATTTTTCAACACAGTTTTAATATTATAAATTATATCAAAACTGCTTCAAACTCTTTATCAACATTTCCTAATGGTTGGCAGACTTAAGGACTTGCACTGTGTCCTGAAATCTCGTTCAGCTGTGTCTGAGTTTAAAATTCCGGTCCCATCTCAAGTCCGGCCCCAAATTTATCGTCCGAGAAACTCAAATCAATTCATGAGCCAAATTTGCACGCATTGCAATTTCTCTGTGGCAGGAAAAGCTCGAGAAAGCTCCACAAAAGCCTCTTTGTTGTTCAATTGTTTTCCACCCTCTCTGCGCATTTCAACTGAACTCTCCCAGTGTGAAAACTTTCCGGCATGAGAGGTGAAAATGAAAATTATCTTTCCACCAGATTTACGCGTCACTTTTCACTTCACTGACTTTCGATTTCCTCATTTATTTGCAGAGCTTCGCATATCAAATACACACCGCGCAAACTTTCAGCGGTCCTCACATTTCACATTTCCCATCTCAAAATTGCTCTGAAGAATTGATAAATTGCCTGAAGAATTGCCATATTCTTTTATTATGACAAAAAAGTGGCTCTTGTGTGAGAGAGAAAGAGAGAAATTAAGCTCTAGACCCCATAAATTTCACTCACAATTGCAGTGGAATTTTTCAAATGCACTTTTTCACCACCAAATGCAAGCTCGTAAATGAGATAAATCATTGAGTGGTGAAAAGTGGGTGGAAAATTGAGTGAGAATTCACATCTTTCGCCCTCTTCCTAAAGAGTCACCCTCCTCCGTCTCAGTGTACAACAAATTTAAATTTAAAGCAAAATTCTGGCTCTCAACAGTGGGCGAGAAGGAGTTGGAAATATTATAAAAGTTTTTCAATTAAAAATTCAAATATTTACCTTCACCCAAAAATACACTGCGACTGTGTGTGGGCAAAACACAAAATCTCGGTCTCGTGAGATGTACAATCTCACGAATGTACACAAATCAAAGATATATTTGAATATTGGCACTCACCTGAAAAGAGAAGAGAGAATAAAAATTGAATTAGCCTAAATCAATTCATAATATTAACCCTCAACAGTCCCATTATATTGTCACCCTTAGCAATAATAAAAGAGAGGAGGAAACTTTTGTCCATCGCGCGCATAAATGTAATCTTCGCCATTTATGAATACAAAATGACAAATTTTACGATTCTTGTGATACTCTTTTACGATCAACAGGCCACTTTTATGAATTGTTTAGAATTAAATGCGCTTGTGTGCGTATTCAAATTTTTATTCCTCTCTCCGTCCGCGCACATTTCCTTGTTGATCACATTTTATGCCATCCATCGCATAAAAGGCGTTTTCGCGGAATCCGGAGAGAATTTAGGTCGGTATGTTTCCCAATCGATTTTTCCGCTTTTCCTCACACCCTCCAATATTTTCCTTGGCGCTGCAGAAGCCAAAGGAGAAATCCCGAAGACAAGTCCTCAATTGGCCATTGAGTCAATTTGCCTTCGATTGTCACTTTAATTGCGGCAAAATTCCTCAAGAGGAAATGGATTCCTCCAATGTTCGACCATCTTTGGTCACGTAGTTGCGGTCAGGAGGACTTTCTTCCCAAGTTTTGGGGTTGCAGATTGTTTGCTAAGAATGACAGACCTCTGTTTGAGGTCGTCAAACACACATGTAACCAATTAGATGAGCATTCAAAGTGGATTCACATGAGAGCCTTCATTCAAGCTTTGAACTCCTTCTGAACTTATAAAGACAGACATTCGGTTGAGAAACTAAACCGTCCACCTTTAATATTAACTTGCGAAAATTCCAATGGAAATTCACCATAATGAGATTTTCGCATGTATTGTTTTCAGTAACAGACTTTCTCCTTGTCACTCACAACACAAGACACCTTCGAACGGAGGCTTCATGTTCTTTTTATTCCCTTTATTTTTATTTTGATACCCCATAAAAGTGAAAAGTGAGAGGAGCGGAATACAAAAACAACGCACACGTAAAAATGTTGATGACTTTCACACGCGACGTGGAATAAATTCACTGACACTTCTTCACCCCTTCTTTAAAGCTTCGCATTCTGTATTGTTGATATTTTTCTAGATATACTGATAAAAAAAAGCAGAAAAAGAGCATTCACATCCAGAGACTGACTCAGTTGGTCAAACAATTGGTTCATAATCGTGTAGTCAAGAGTTCAAATCTCACTCTGTTCTTGATTTTTTAACAACTTTTTCCCCAAATGTTTGTCATATTTTTAATCACGCCTCCGTTTAAGAATAATTTTTATATCGAAAATTTGCCAGAAAACAAAAAAATCTGATTGAATTTGAACTTCATTTTGTGCTTTATACTTTTAGAAGCACACATGAGTGAAGCGCACTGAGAAACTTGATGAATTTCACAGGTACTTTATTCAAAAATATGTTTATTCACCAAGTGGTTCTAGAATTGCAATTAAACTGTTTAACTTTTAGTGGAGCATTTTGCTTGCATAAAATAAACACCAGATGATGTGTTTGTAAATTAACTCAAGGTATAAATTTACTCATGCCATTCGGTGTCTGCAGTGATGCTAGAGCTCAAAATTCGCTCAAGTGTTGTCACGTTTTGCAAAAATATTGATGTATTTCTATTTAAATTGAAACAATCAATCTCTCTTTTTGATACGATTTCTCCAGAAGATGTATTTCAACTTCTATAAATCAAGTGACTGAATATTTAATAACAGCCAATTAAGTCGCCCCTCAAATCAAAGTCTCTACGCAAACCCCACACTATTCGAGTCACAACGCGCGACGATAGGAGAAGCGCCACTGCGGGGTGGAATAAATATTGAAAATGGATCCTATGAATATTCTGCTAGCTTCCAGGCGGGCGCCGCCCGCGGGGAAGAAGATGTCAGTGGGTATCTGGGACGCGCCGAAGGGAGCCCAGAGGGGCTGCGAATAAATTGACATGGGAGGCAAATGGAGCGAATAGTGAAGAAAAGGGAAAAACCAATGGCGAGGAAAATTGTCGCATGTGTCAATCTCTTGAATGGACCTCCGGCCAGGAACAACAGTGCCGAAATCCTCGGACAGAAATTGTTCCGATGGTGAAAGAGGAACGAGCAAAAATCGACTTTGGTCGTCTCAACCGTCAAAATTGGATCAATTCACCCTTTTCCTTGCGGCAAAAGCCCCACCACTTTCTTGTGGGAGTGAAAGACACTTCCCATTTCTCAATCCAGCAAAAGTTTGTATCTTGAGTAGAAATTTTTCGAGATGGCGAGCATCGCTCGCTGTCTCGTGAGAATAACTCTGCATCTCTCACGCGATATTGCAGAATGTCTCTCGTCCTGTTAATTATTCAGTTCGTAGAAGTTGCAAAAGGGATGAAAATATCTCGACATATTGCATCAGAATTTAGAGAAAAGTTTTGCATCTCTCCACCAGTAAATTTTCCACTTAATTTTAAATGCATGAAGCTTTCATTGAGCGGAAAATTGGAAAATGCTGTTGCTGATAGACACTCCAGACCTCAAATTAAAAGTTATTCGAAATCATCCAAGGGAGTTTATCAATTGAACAATCAACAAAAAGAGGCTAATCACAAAGTCAAACTGATGTGCACGCAAAGCAGTCGTGATTAATTTAATTAATGCAAACTTACAAAGTAATAATCATCCAACAAAACTACACGTCTCATAAATCATAGAAATCCCTTCGTGATGCTTTATCGCTGCAAAATCCCATCTAATTCATTTCACACTTTATACTTTGTGGGCTCTCTTTGGCATTTCAGGGCGCATTTGTCATCAATCTACCTCCACTTTCACGACACCTTGACCGCCCTTGTGCGTGAAACACGAAAGATCTCACGTCAGCCCCCCTCAACTCTCATGCGAAAAGTGGAACAAACTTCACCGTGAGCAAAAACTGTTGAGTCACAATTCTTCGTGCGCTAAGAATTTCCCCGCTGAGCATTCGAGGACATTTGCATTTTCTGCATTCCCAAGTGATGGGCGGGCGCACAAGTGTCTATTTGTCATGCAAATTTCATCCCGCCTTGTCGCAATGTCGGCAAAAGGGCATCGTGAAAAATTCAACAGTAGATACAGAGCAATTTCATCCCCGGGAAAAAGGTACAAAGCAGACAGAATTTAGCTCTTTTGTGGTGTTGACAAGTGAACATCAATTCTTCACACAGGCGCAATATTAAATTAAGTAGCGTGAAAAATTGATTCTTCAAATATTTACTGGAAAAATTCATTAAAAACTTCACATTATTCTAATTCTAAATGTTTCGTGCCTATTTTGAAACTATTTATTGAAAAGGACAATTTGTAGACAAATCTCACGAGAATCGCGTGTTTACCTCAGTAACAGTGATCACAAAACATTTTGACGAAAGATGTTATTTCATCTCAAATTCAATAAGGAATTCTATATATTTTTGTTAATTTCACCCTTGATTATCTGTAACTTTATCGACTTTTTCTGTGGAAATCAGTGGAAATTTCTAGGACCCAAATCATCACCTGTCGCATAGGCTGGCTCCACCTCGTCCTCGGAGAGCAGATGCGAGGGCGGCGGCGGTGGCACGATGGGGATCTGCACGGGAATGGGCAGAGGCATTCGCTCATAGTGGAGGCACTCCAGATAATTGACGCCGCCGGCAATCACACTGCCCGCGCCACTCATTCCCGGGCTCGACCCGCTGCCACTTCCGCTCCCATGGGCGCTGCCGTGCCCGTGGGCCGACGCGGCGCCCGCGCTGCCGGGCCGCGAGCCGTGAATCGACGTGGACGTGGTCATGTAGTGATGAGTGTGCGGATGCGGATGGGGCACATCGTAGTCGCTCGTGTCGCGCAACGAGGCACCCCGCGTGAGGGTGTTATTGGCCGATGAGATTGAGGACACCGTGGCTCCCCGACACAGAATATCCGACAGTTGGTTTGCCTGCAGAAAATTCCATGACAGAGAGACGCTCTCGCGCTGCGAATTTCCATCCCGAGACACCTGAATCCCACCCAAGGACGCCCAGGCAAAGACTCTCCTCGCAAATGCATGATTTATGAACATGAGCCTGGCATCACTGAACCCACAATTTGCCATTCATCTTCACTCCTTCTCTGCACCGAATACATGCATTCAGAGATGCAAATCTCAAGATATGATTGCGCAATTATGAGATCGAGGGGAGGAGAGTCTTCCATCCTCGCGGAGATTCGGTGTCTCGGTTCGAAACCCATGCTCGCCGACCTGTGGACTGTCCAGCGGATCGAGCGACTGCCGCCGCGGGTATTCCTCCAGCGGCGCATGCTGCACCTGCGGCTCGCTCTCGGACTCACTGCACGCCGCCACCACGTGCTGTGGACTCTGACACGGGCTCTGGCATGCACTGTGGCACGGACTGCCGCACGGACTGCGCCCGCACGGGCTGTAGCACTGCGGGGGCGGCGGCTCAGACTGCGGCACGGCGGCACATTGAGTGTTGCGCCGCGGCGAGCGTCCGCGATCCACAGCCGTTGCGCTCCAGTAGCCCCAAGCCATGTCTCGCTCCCTGTCTCGTCAGCGATCACTGGTGCTCCTTCTGACAGTCCTCACGCCTCCTCAAGCGCCTTCGATGTCCTGACAGTGAAAGACGTATTTTTCTCAGCATATTCGCGAGGACAGCGTTGGGAGAAATTCTTGTGGAAATCCGACGATTCGTGACACATAAAGTAAAATTGCAGCTGAAAACTGGATCTTTTCATGCTCAATTACCCCCGAAAAAACACTCATATAAATGTTTTTCCTCACCACCAAACTCCACACTTTGCTATCAACTTTTTCCATCCTCCGCCATAAATTCCATCTAAAGCTCATACGTCAAACTTTCACACCCCCAACCGCCAGACCTTAAATTTCAATTCCCACCCTCAAATATCACGCTCTGATTCCTGGTGAATGCAAATGATTTTCTATGTTGCCGCAAAACACAACTTACCCCCAGTGAAAAGGTCCGCTCTCTCTGTCTGTGGCCCAACAAAAAGAGATATGGCATAAAATTGTGTTACAAGGCTGTATTACCATGTGACAAAAAGTCCTGAATTTTCATCTCACTCTCTGGCTGTGTGCTGGACTGCAAGAAAAGTTTCCCTCATCCCCATATATTTTCTCAACTCAGACACTCTCTGGGTTTTATGTCAGTAAATTTTGACACATACACACACACACACAGACATGAGATGTAACGATGTTTTCATAACATAATTAAGCATTTTGTCCTCATGTGGAGATGTGCTTTCTCCTCTTTGCCAGATAGACCGTAAAAAGGTGATGGGCACAGAGTCCATAATGTTCCCAGGGCCACTGGCGCTCCCCATCACTCCCCAGGGACCCTCACTCAATACACACAGTGATCAATTCATTTTCCCACCACTAAGCACTAATTTAATTGAATTGACACTGGGCTTTTTGGGTCGCAAATTGTCCATGTGCAAAATAGCTTTCCAACTGACACGAAAATTTTGTCGCATTATGCTTCATTTAGTTCTGCCTGGCAAATGGCTCAGATATAACACATCTGTTTCAGCCTATTTTTATTGATGCCTGTGTTTTTGTTTGCTGCGTGCTGTAAATTATTCACCAAAGAGCCATCGTAATTAAATTGCGAAGCTATTAGTGAAACATTGATTGACACGGCTTTTAAAAAAAAATTAACGTATAGGAAATCAGAACATTTCACATCCTTCAAAAGGACAAATTCCCACTAAAAAGAACAGAGTAAACCCCATTCCAACAAACGATTATTCCAGATCATACATTCTCTTGTGTCCCGAAAAGGCATTTTCTATTGAGAATATCCCTGTTTATGCGCTTCTGAAGATGAAAAAGTGAAAAAAAAGATTCCGCATAGCAGTACATAGCACATCAACATGAAAAATGGAGAACCAAAAACCGATCATTTCATTGACCTTTCAACTTCCCTCAAAGGCTATTTCACTTGACACAAAACAAATAACTCGCAAATTTTTCTCTTTATACCCATAACCATCAGACATAAATCACGGAAATCGATTGGCGCATGCAAATCGAAATGTTTATATGTCTCGAGAGGAAGGAAATGTGTAATTCAAGAATGTTCAAGATATGATTTTTTTTTCCTTCTTTGCAGGAGTAAAACTCTCATTTTCACCCTCACCACACCATGAGCAAAAAAAACTCTCATCATTGATATGCTCTGGTGACTTTTCTCTGTCAATTTTCACAAGGATGGAATACACTTTTTGACATATTTCCTTCCCATTTTTGGATCTCCTCTCACACTCACACTCTCTCCCTCTCTCTCTTTCCCGTTCTCTAGATGAAGTAAACTTGCCAGAAAATTGAGCCTAGTCCCTCATGGGTTGAGGCTTTTTCCCACTTAGCCTTCCCACATAACACACCAACCCAGACAGTATCATACAATATTTGATGATTGTGTAAATATATGAAGGGAAGAGAAATTTAATATCTAATTTCATATCTTGTCACTCTCTTTCTCTTGCGATAAATTTTTCTCGTATTTATTTTTATTGACATTTTCCTTCCATCATCCAAGAGATTTAGAAATGATTTCCACCACCCATGTTCAAGAGATTTTCAGCATCAGCAAACACACACACACACATTTCTTCTGTGAAGGTGAAAAAGACCCTTTTCTTTCAACTCGATCTGCAACTGATTGAATAGGATTTTTCAAAGAGACGAAAATCCCATCTCAAGCCGTCTCAACACACGGCAAAACACACACTCCCAAAACGAGTCCAATTAGTGTGACTCACAAGTGCATAATAATTGTTAGAGTGGAGTGTCTTTTCGTTAGGATAATATAAACTTTTAATGGGGTTAATGCAATAAATTCTCCGCTTTGCAGGTACAATACACAGACCATTTCATGGTCCGCCTTTTCGGGGCCACCACTTTATAACACCATCAATTCCGTTGGAATGGATTTAAAGGTATTTTGCAACATGACAATTTCGTGCCGGAGACCCTTTTTTCAGCCTTCGCCTTCTTTGCTTGTGAACTGGCGAAGGAAACTTGGGCCCATTGAGTACACAAAATAAAACACTACCCCACCCTGAAAAGCTTCTGCAGAACCTGCCAAACACGCACACACACATACATATACACCCACCAAACGCCCAGACATTTGGACTCTCTTGGTGGAAAATCAGCCGCAATATTGAGAAGAATCGCATCATGTATTCATCCTTTGACCAATAAACTATACTTTATGGTTGTTTTCAGTGTCGAAATCTCGACATTTCCACAAGAATTTTTCCCCCTTTAACAGTTTTGGGACACACACTTTCCGACACGGCTTTCCACCTCGCACACTAACACACCCGCGCGCTTTGGAGCTTTTCCAGGCAAACCGCGAGGAAAAACGTCACGATGACTCTGTCAGAGAGCACAATAGGAAATCCACCCGGAATAAGCGCACGTTCTCGCCTCGTTGGCCGGCTGCTGAAGCCAAAGAAGGGATCTTCGATACCTTTGGTGAATTGGTTGATGGTACAAGAACAAGAGAGAGAGACCGATTAACAAAAACAAGGGGCGCGACACTGCAGACTCCTCGATGCCAACTAGAATCCAATAATTCGGCAGTGAGTGGTGGTAGCACAAGTTTAGTGGATTTGCAGGGGATCGTGCGGTCTCGTGGGCGCCTCGGGCGCCACCCAAGCACTGCGCATCCCGGGCGCCAGCTCATGCGTCATGGCGCCGCCGTCGACGTCATCCGGCCACCCAAACCGCGCGCCACCCACACGGCCAGCCGGGCGGTCAAGTGATGTGACGGCAAAGCCACCCAGCGCAGAGACAGGTAGCAAGATCACGCGGCACGGAGGCGTGTGACACACGAGCTGCCCAGCAACAGACAGAAGCTATCCAGGACTAATTTTCAAAGCCTCTACGGCTCCACCTTCACGGCAGCAGTTTGAAGAGAGAGCCTGGACTCAAATGCTGTGAGAAAGTGATCAAATCTGCAGTGAAGAACAAATCTCAACGCTAAGAGATGCTCATATTATAATGACTTTTCTACTTCAGACCAATCGAAATTTTCTGCAATTTCAAAACTTTAAACTTATCGCCACTCTGAAGAGGACTTTGGGTTCTTTTCAACTGATAAAACTCTGAAAAGTGGCAAAAAGCTGTTTTTTTTTCTTCCAATTGCGCTCTTAAATATCTTTTTCATATGTCTTTAGAAGACAGTCATTGTGATACAAAGCTTTTCTGGAGTTCAGAAGTCGGTTAAAAGGCTTTAAATTGCACATATTTAAACTGAAATGTGATTAAATAAGAGCCAAATTGCACACTTGGAAAATTCCTACAAACTCAATTTGCAGCATGAAATGAAAGCGCTTTCAAACACTTGTCGTGAAATTATTCAAACAGATTTAAGAGTCAAATTTTCATATTCTGACGCACAAAGCATGGAAATCGATGTTGAAAATTTTTCATTGAACTTTCTTCCCACGGTGAATTAGGAAAATTCTTTATCACTTTCATCTCCACTAGTCACTCACGAAGTTTTCTCTCTCTCTCTCTGGCAATGCCAGAAAATATTACACAAATTGTCTGCAAAAGAGAAGTTTGTCTTGCACTGAAATCAATCTGGCGGAAAAACTTTTGCTATCCATTCCACTATTTTTTCCCGTCTGTCTCTCTAAGCGCTATATTGCGAAAATGATTTTCCGTCACGTGCAATTCCATCTCAAATCCTTCTCTCGCTCTATGTTTTAACCCTGGAAAATTGTTCACAGCACCGTTTTGGCACAAGAATTCTCTCCACATGCATTAGCTGGGTGAAAAGAGGTGAGAAAAATCCTTAATGTCAGTGGATTTTTGTGCATTTTCAACACCAGTCACGATCTCTCGGGGTGATTTTCTGGCACAAAATCAACCCAATTGCCTTCGAAAGTGCAATTCTTATCTCTTCCCGGGATTTCCCGGTGTGCCCTCGACGCCAGCGTGCGATAAACGGCAGAAAGATGAGAAATATATTGAAGGGATGGATCCATTTGTTCTCACTCAGGGCTACAGAGTGTATTCGTAGGCGCAGTTGATGGAAAATTAAATTTTCATGAAGAAGTTTCGGTAGTTTCAGCCCAAGAGGACTAGAGAGATACATTAGAGAGACTGAGAGCAAGTCCATCTCTGCACAACCATCACTCGTCCTCGACATTGAGTGGATTTCTTCTTTTTTTATTACGGAATTTCCCACAATTTTCTCTCTCCTGTTTTGCCAAAAGTGCCCTGAAAACTTTCGCTTTTTATGTCGCCATGTACAAAAGAGAGAAACATTCTGTTAAATTTTCAAAAGAGAAAATGCACACCGAACAAGGGGAAAATATTCAAGTGTCAGTGAAATATTGTACAACTTTACAGAATTGTTTGGAAAACTAAGTGTTTTATATCTTTAAATGATTGTTCTATCTATTTCTGTCTTATTACTCAATAAAGATTGTGATTCTGAAAACTTTAAATATAATACAAATTATAGCAATTGCTATAAAATCTATTATAATCTTAAAAATATTACTTTGGACATAGAAAATATATTATTTTTAAAGTTTTTCCACCAGTTTAGAACGCACTTGGCAAAATTCTTTTAAACCAAAAAGCTCTGAACAAGATACTTTAAAATTTTCTAATGCTACATTTGATAATGTTTAGCAAATTCTCTAGCAGAATTTTAGGCACAATAAAAATTTCCCCAAATGCTGCTGTGCCAAATTCTAGTCACATTTCTTTCCCTCGGCGCAGATAAATCACAAATTGAAGCCAACTTCGTGCTGTGACGTCACAGCGAGTCTAACCATTAAAAAAAATCTCACCAAACCAGATTGAATAATTAAATGCGCGGAGTGAAAACGCTGTGAATTGTGAAATTCGCTGGTATTTTTCAACAACTGCACAACACGGCCGAAATTGCCGAGGGTGGTGAATTCGAGTGGCTAGATTCCCACACGGACTCAGGGGTGGTTTCTGTGGTGTTAGAAAGTGGTTTTTGGACTCCATGTGGCCCAAGGTGCCTCTCGGCAATAAATAAATGCTAAATAATACGGCACATATTAAAAATTTCACATGCTGTACAAATTTCCACCGCGCGCCTAGAATATGGGCGAAACCGACTATATGCACAGCAATACACCACAAAATCTAGGACAGCCAATTTTATTTCTGTGGTCCTCGGCAAACAACCAAATTGCACCGGGAATTTTGGTCAAATAATAAATTCCACCGGGATATTTGGGTCAGCCTAACCATTTAATTCAGCACGTGCGTGATTTCTTTGAGTGCACAAAGTGCTCTGTGAGTTTAAATTCAAATTTCGACACAAACTTCACGAATTAATTCACCGCATGAGGTGAACACCACACACAAATACACACTCCTGTGATGCTATAGAAAATATACAATATTAGAATCTCTCCACCCGCAATACATCACGGAATCCCTGGGAAAACTCGCTGAAATGGCTGGAAATTTAATAAAGTGCGCCTGCCATGAGTAAAATTAAATTCAACGCCCATTTCCGTGGAGTTTAAGGAAGAAATATCCACCAGACAAGTGTAACTTCATCACATGTGGCAATACGGAAGATTCAATTTGAATCATTTCACGAATGTTCTCACTCACATTTGATGCATTTTCACGCGATTTCAGTCAATTTCAGATGCTTTTCACATTAGTCAACTGCTTTTCCGCCCGAAATATGATATGAAATGGTGCACAAAATACATTTAGATTTATTGTTATCCATCTATTCACTGGATTTATATTCAATTGTCAGTGAATTTATTGCAGTGAGATAATTTTCGACACTGATGCATAACCTTAAACAGAGGTCATGTCCGACACTGCTTAATATTTCATCAATTCCCGACAGTCCCCTCAAATACGGAATGAGAAGAAAAAACCAATTATTCTATTTGGAATTGTTATCGAAGATGAATTTTTAAAAACTCCGAAACTTTGGGTTCTGTAATTTCTCCATCTCAAACAGCAAAACACATTTTTAATATGAGGGTTTCTTATCATTCACAATGAAGCTTCTATCCTCCAAATGGGAACATGATATTGAGAATTAAGTCTCCATCCAAGATTTCTGCAGTCAGATCAATAGAAAGGAATATTGTATAACTGTGAGAACATCCAATCCAGAAATGGTCTTTAATCCATGAGTCAATCCACATGAAGACCCCCCACTGATTGTGCTGAGGGATGAAATTTGAAAAACGCAAGTCCAGCTATAGAGAGTGGTTTTGTGTGCGACGAGGGAAAATGTATTTTATGAATGCACCACACTGTGAACTATTGTCGGTGAGAAAATTTCACATTGAATGGCACACAGACGACGACGCCTCTCGGTGCAGGAAATTTCACCTCAATTCCCACCACTTTGTTCATTTAAACCCCCACACGAAAGGCAGACACACTCTACTCACTCACCCCATTCTTCATCGCACATCTGCAGGAGTCCATTCTCATTTGCCAGAGTGATTTTTTTCCTCCCAACTGCCATCAAATGCACTCCTGAAAAGCTCCCACTGCGCTTTTATTTGATAGTGCGATAGAAATCAATCACATTTATAAGCACTATACAGGAAGTCTATACAAAGTTTCATTTTTAAACTTTCAACTAATGTTTGGCGCCAACGTTTCCCCCTTTGATTTTTCCTTATTATCATTTAATTTTGTCACACACACGTTTTGGGACGCAATTGTGGGGAAATTTGTGGAAAATTTCTGGTTCATCACTTTCCGCTCTGGGGCAGGCGAATGGTGCCCAACTAGGGTATATTAATGAGTGGCACGCAACCATCAAATTACAGTCCAGCGCCAGATGATGGTGATGGCGAAACAATTTGTATTACAGAACACACACACACACATCCAGAGAGCAGAAAGGCCTCTAATTTTTCCAAAAACCCATCAGAGACAGACGTCCGTAGGAAAACCACATAATCTTGAAAGTGAGCAAAACCCCACAACGTAGGCAACACAGATAACACCCTAAAAAGCCACAGAATAAATCCAAAACAATTGGACTACGAAGCAAAGAGAAAACACCTTAAATCCCTCCCTCTTCTCTCTCTTTCTCTCTGAAAGCTTGTAATTCAATTAAAAACAAAGTTTAGGCAAAGGTGAGAGAAAGAGGAAATGCACTCCTTTATCCTCACCTTGGAGAAGAAACAGCAAATTGAGACAGCAAACATCGGAGAATGAAAGACTAGAAAAGGACTTTCACACATTCAAACAATTTCCACCGCACAAACAATCAACTCATATACGCTTTCAGTTTGTAGAAACATTTAATTAAGCTGAGAGTGAGAGGAAAAGCGTAGAGGCAAAATGTCTGCAGTCACCAAAACCTCAAATTGACGCCACTGCACAAATACAGAATACAACATACAAGAGAAGCTTCGTTAAATGAAATTAAAGAAATTGCAGTAGCAATGTATGTAAATGGATAAAATTGGTCTCCAGTAAGCAAACTTAAAGTGGGTTTGGCAATTTGAATTTGGGATTTTCTATCTAGTTAAGCACAACCTGATATCTTCCAACTCTGAGAGAACG